CGTGCTCGGTTGGGTAGGGTAGGGTTGCGATGGAGAGGAGTGGGACGTGCTGTGCCGTTTGAAAGCTTGCCGTCGGAAATGCTTGGGGGGAGGGCGTTGAGGTGATTGTCACTGTGGGCCGGGAATGGTAAAGTGCTAAGAAGGGGGGGGGGGTTCCAGAGTGCTCTTAGGGCGACAGTCTTTGTAGGGGCCCTGAGAGGGTTCTCGAAGGGCAGAGAACATCATGGCAGGTGGAGCTGGGTGAGGAGAGGTTTTCAAACAGAAAGACCAGTGAGTGCGTGCAGCAGGCAGGAAGTAGCAGTATGCTTGAGAAATGGCCAGTGGTCCTGTTGGCTAGTCTATGCAGTGTACACAGGCGGGTGCAGATGAATGAAGCTGGAAGAGTGGATTGGGCCATGTCACAGGTGACTTCCGATGGGCTGAGAAACCTGGGCTTCCCTCCTCAGACCTCGGAAAGCTTTGTAACAGAGGAGTGCCCTGAGCAGTCCTTCTTTAGGAAGAACACCTGGAAGGAGAAGTGAAGGACAGGGGTTAAGTGCTCAACTGCTAACCAAAAATCAGCCGTTCATATCCACCAGCCGCTGTGGGAGAAAGGTGAGGCTGTCTGCTCCCATAAAGCTTTAGTTTTGGAAACCCAAGGTGGCAGTTCTGTTCTGTTAGTCGGAATTAACTTGATGGCAGTGGGCTTTTGGGTTTGGTTTATCAGTTACTGAGATGGAATGGGATGGTTGGTTGGTTGGTTGGTTGGTTGGAATGGAGGGAAGGAGTGGTCAGTAATCCTTGTTTCCAGTCGTCTATGTATGAAAGGAACCCTGGTGGTGCACTGGTTCAAGGTTGGCAGTTCAAACCCACCAGCTGCTTAGGGGGAGAAAGATATGGCAGTCTGGTTTCTTAAAGTCTGCAATACTAGAGCCCCATGCTCTAATTCTATTCTGTCTTCTAACCAAGCCAGTCTAAGCCCATGGCCATCGAGTTGATTCTCAGTGACCCTGCATAGGTTTCTGGGGCTCTAAGTCTTGTTGGGCACAGTCAGTCTCATCTTTCTCCCAGTTTCAGCGGCCATCCTTGGGGTTAGAAGTCTAATGCTTGATGACAGCGCTACCTGAGCTGTGAACCGACTCAATGGCAGGGGGCCGTTATGTGTATGACAGGTGCTTAGTAACAGTGCTCGGTGGCTGAAAGTAACCATTAATAAGTGTTTGGCCTGACTTGCTTCAGGCCACTCTCCCTTTCCACGGGGGAAGAGCAGACTGGCCATCCTTTCCATAGACTCTTCTTTCTTGATAGGGCCCTCCTTCCCACTGCAGGTGTCTTGTGCTGTGATTGGGCGCTGTTGACTAATGATAGTGGAGGCAGCCAGGAGCAGACCCAATTATATGGGTACTTTCTAGGGCAGCTCTCTGATAGTATGTCTGTATTGAAGCATGATGCCCACTTTTTTATTCTCATTTCCGAACCGTTGCATTTTGTGTGGATAGGTTCATCATCAAACCTACGAAGATATAGATAAACATGGAAAATATGACCTTTTACGTTCAACAAGGCACTTTGGCGGGATGGCTTGGTATTTTGTCAATAAAAAAAAGATTGATGGCCTGCTGGTTGACCAGATCCAGAGAGATTTGTAAGTATGACCCTAGTAAGGAAGAGCCATTCTTGGATTAGTGCCAGCAAATCAGCAGGCTCCTTCTCAGGGAAAGCGGTGCGTTTTCTGGCGGAAACTGAAGCTGGCACATTCTGTGCTCCTCTCCAGCTGCAGAGCCTACTTTTCTCACCTTGGCCTTTGGGTTGCCTTCCCGGGGCTAGAGCCCTTGAAAGACTGCTTCTTTAGGCTTCCAGAGAATTGCGATCAGTGGCCCGCACGGGGAAGTCTCTCACCACCTTGGGGGCCTTCTTGGCAACAGCCAGCCCTGTCTCCATGTTCCTTCCTCACACCAGCCCTTGTTCCCCACCACTCTCCCCCTATGCTGGTTCCACAATTCTCTGCAGTGGCTACACAGAACTCACAGCAATACTCCCAGTTAAGGGGCTTATTAGGGAAGTAATAGGTTGTGCTAAGACTGCTGCATGTGAAGAAAACCGCTATTACTAAATAGCCTTTCTCCACAGGGTTGATGACGCTGCCAGCCTGGTCCAGCTGTATCACATGGTCCATCCAGGTGGCCAGTCAGCTCAAGAGGCCAAAGAGCAGGCTGCTGAGGGAATAAACTTAGTTAAGGTAAAGGGTCTTTTCTCTGTACTGACTGGCAGTAATTTGAGTTGGGGAGAATGCAGAAATGGGCACTGTTGGCATTGGTTAGGCAAGATCAGCAGCTCCAAGGCGGCTTTTGGCTCCCATGCTTACAGCCTCAGAAACCCAAAGGGACAGTTCTCTTGTCCTATGGGGTTGGAATGAGTCAGAATTTGCCCAATGGCAGCGAGTTTTGAGGCTTTTTGCTTCCATGCTTACAGCCTCAGAAACCCAAAGGGACAGTTCTCTTGTCCTATGGGGTTGGGATGAGTCAGAATTTGCCCAATGGCAGCGAGTTTTGAGGCTTTTTGCTTCCATAAAGGCATGCGGTCTCAGAAACTTAACGGGCAGTTCTAATCTGCCCTACAGAGACTGAATTGGCATGCTTCGAGCTGAGTTGGGTCCTCTTTTCCTCTGTCTCATATACTTCTTAATAGGAAAAATTAAATACTGTAATAAGTTTTAAGATTTAAAAACAAACTTTTCTTTGCTAAAATTACAGAAATGTCTCAAGGTTGAAAACTATACAAGTAGTCTACATTCTGTTGCTTTAATGATTTTTCTTTCTTTCTTTTTTTTTTTTTAATTTTACAGGTTTTTGCAAAAACAGAAGCACAGAATGGAGCATATTTAGAATTAACACTGCAGGCTTATCAAGATGCATTCGTTAGCCATTCCACAGCTTCATAAAAACATTTTAAAAGAAAATTTTATTAATTCCTATTAAGATTTCTCTTTGTTAATCTTGAACCAAATGCTTATAAATGTCCATAAGAAAAGGTACTGATGTGTACAGTTTAATTCTAAATTCTGGATAGATCTCCTAAAGAAATACAAAGAGAATGGGTTACTTTACCCCTTTCACAGACTGGAAAATACACCGTGGGCCTAGGTGTGGATTTCTCCTGTTCGATAACTGTGCTGCCAATCCGGCCAGTAAGGGGTGTGGATGGCGCGGCGGCAGCTGGCCGTCCGTACTGGTTCCAGGAGTGGGGAGCTTTGGGCTAACGCGGGGCCTGCTGTTGGAACCCACGGCAGCCATGCTGCAGAGGCTGAGGCTTGGAGAACGGCAGCATGGGTGTCAGTCCTCAGACAGACAGATGGACGTGATGATGGTACAAAGGAAAGAGTCTCGGCTGATCCTGGCTGCAGTGAGGTGTCTCTCTGACTCAGTAGCCGAAATCAGTGTGTTTCATATTAAAACCAAAACCTATTTTCATCATTCAGAAAAGAAGCAGAGCACCTTCATTAATTCAAAAGATTTTATGAGACAAGATGGCATGAGAGTATGAAAAAAATCAGAGCCCACGTCTGCTTTAGTTAAGCAGGGAAATGTGGGGATTCAGAAGCTGCGCGAGGAACCCCGGTACACGAGGAGGGCACTCCGCGCCCAGCGCTCCACAGCTGCTACGTGCGAAAATCTGAGGCATTTGTCATAGGTCATAGTCCAATGCACTGTGGCCAGGTCAAGATCAAGGTGGTAATACATTGTTCGTCAGGTGTGGGGAACACTACGTTCAATCACACAAAATCTCTTCATCCAGGTTGATATCAGTTGTGTCAAGATCTTCCAAGTCCAAATTATCCGAATCTACTTCCAGTTCAAATAAACTCTGCAAGGAAAAGAGGACAATGGAGTGCTGTATTTAAGTATTACCTCTATTACCAGTCTGGAAATCCAGAATGAGAACTGACGTGTTCCCCCTGCTCTGGAGCTGTGGCCGAGCTAGGCTGGAGGTGGGTGCCCTGCCATGAGGAAGCGGGGAGCGGCCGAGTGCCGTCCTACAGGAGGTTTGGGTCTGGTGTGCGACCTACCTGTTCTTCTTTGTTGGGAGGGTGGGAGGCCACTATCACTGGAGTAGGAGAGGCAGGCTTCCCATCAACTTCCTGAAAGTCCAAGTGGACACAGATGGAGCCATGGGAATTTTGTTCAGCAATTGGAAATGTCCCACCCAGTGGATGCAAGATCAGGGTTTGGAAGTGGGACTAAAAATCCATACATCAGTGACAGCGTGAAGTTCACATGCAGTATTCTACTGACCTGTGGGGCTGCAGGTTTTGAGGGCTGAAACCCTTTGGCCTCTTCCATAACATTTCTTTCTTCATTAGGCTGTCAAATATTTGTAAACCACAGTTAATCTGTAAATTTGCCCTGATGGTGACTCTTAGCCCAACAAGAATTCTTTTCATTCAGTTCAAACCCAGAGGGCAGAAAGCACTCTTGGCTGACTGAAGCCTGGCCTGGCCTCTCACCGTGACTAGTGGGTACTTCTTGGCGGGCCACAGATCAGAGTGCGTTTCTTTCACCCATTTTTCAACCACAAAGGCTTCTTTCAGTCCAGGGAAGAGGTTCTCGTACTCTGTTGGATCAGCAAGGGATTCTGCAGCTTTCTGATTGACTTTTGAGAGACCCTCTCTCCAGAGTTGCACTACCCTGCATGTATGAAACCAAGGAGAGGTGAAGTAGGTGTGCTCTGTTCTTAAAGGAAACTCTGCTCCCTAAAGTGAAAAGCTGTACCTTGAAACCTGACTGGGGAGGTAAGTTCGGGCCAGGAAGGCAGCTTCTGGCAGTCGTCCGGTTCTGATCAAGAGTTCTAGGCAAGCATCAAGCCTACAGATTAACAATAAGAACTGTGTGACCAAGAATAAACACTAATGGTGGCACTTAACATATTTAAGAAATGTGACTTTAGACATGGCTAAGTCAATGACAGACAACCCCCACCCCCCTTCCTCCTCCTCTCCAGGGTTGATTCTTCTTCAAAATCCATTCTCAACCTGGGATTGCTTTTAAATACTTTACAAATACCTTGTAGACTCTGGATGAATACGTACTTGCCCTGTAGGAAGTAGCTCATGAATGCCACATTGTTCTTGCCGTCTCTCTCTGCGCCCTCTGCCAGCTTGTTCACCATGCCAGCATTCCCAGAGGCAGTGGCCAAGAGCAACAGGCCCCCGTAGTCCTGGGCGTGGTGCAGACACTCCTGGGCGAGGCCAAACTGACACTTACTGATGGCAAGCTCAGCCAGCTGCTTCCACTTCTGTTCTGACTGTAAAGACAGTTTCCAAGTTCAGAATATTTGAAAATACTGATATTGCCACCTAATTCTGTCAACCTTAGCATTACTATATTCACATAAAATAAATTCCAACACAAAATAATTTTTAATGATGTATAATCATCAACCCAATGGATTTTTACTTTGTAGAGTGAATTGAAGTATAACCATCTAAATTGAGGTCTTAGTAATTATTTCAATAAGCAACTTAATACTACTCTTTGAAAAGTGTAGAAACTTGTTCATGTTCCTAAATATTTAATATCACCTGTCACGGGTAGCCTCTCAGAAATCAACTAAAATGCTACATACACTGTATTTTAATACACCTAAAATTAATTTTGTCCAGTTGAAATGAACTTAGCAGTAACATGAGACTGGAGCCATAATTAAAATCCCTCAAGACACAGGATGATAAAAATGGCGTTGGACTCCTTGGTGAAAACCTGCTGTGATAAGTTTGGATGTTCTCAGATTTCTGCTGCATCCAGTCTCAGCGCATCAGCTCCCACACTGCCTTGTGGTACTAGTCTCAGCTTTCCTTCTAGGCCAAGGGAGGTCTCAGGAGCAGAGAACAGTTTCCTTAAACAAATGAGTGCTCAGGCCATCTCAACAGAATTCATTGAAGCAAAGATTCGCATTCATGTGTGAAAAAGGCAATAACCTCACCAAATGTGTCACTAACTGCATTTCAGAAAACTTAACCAAATACACAAAAGTGCCTAGCAACCTTTGCGCCACTTAGGGAAAATCATGAATGAATACGCACCTCTGCTTCCACTGCCAACTGATAGGCAATTTTTAACTCTCCAAGCTGAAGAGCAAGCTCAAAGCGATGTTCAGGGTCCGTGGACACGGTAAGAGCTTGCTGCTTGAAGCCCTAAACAGATTTAAGAGACATTTATACATATTTATGTTTACAGTGTGGTGCAAGTTCTGCCTGGCTTCAGCCCTAGCTCTGTCTGCATTTAAAATTGGACTTCCCAGCTGAAGCAAGCTGTCCGCCTCCCACTCATCCAGGAGCCCCGCATGAAGCAGCACGAGGACTCAGTTGAGCACTTTCTTTACTAGCACTGACATAGCTGTGAAAGATGACTGCTCTGCTCCTGTAAAAGAGGTCCAGTCTTGGGACCATCCCAGGGGCACCTGTAGGGTCACTAAGAGTTGGCACTGACTAGTTGGTAAGTTTGGTTTGGATCAAAATATAAGGAGCCCTTGTGGCATAGGTTATCCTTTAGGCTATTAATCATAAGGTTGGCAGTTTGAAACCACCAGCTACTTCTTGGGAGAAAGGAAGCTTTCTGCTCCTGTAAAGAGTTACAGTTAGGAAATTCCCAGGACCAGATCTATTCTGTCCTACAGGGTTACTGTGAGCTGGAATCAGCATGATGGCAGAGAGTTTGAGTTATGCAATCCAAGAATGGAGGATGGAAGATTCATGAAATGCTTCAGAAACAGGATGAGATGCGGTGAACTTAACACACATTTACTTTCCCTCCCTGCAAGTCCCCTGAAATGACACCAAAGGGGATTTTTTTGGTGTTTAAAGGCATAAATTCCCAAGGACACACAGAAAGGGAAAGGAGACAGCAGCGACAACATCTGGCACCTGTAAAACGGGTGGGCAGGTATAAACACCCCCTTGGGAAGAACCCTAATGAGGTAGTTATATAATCTGTAGTCAATTTGCGAGGATTCAGAGTGAAGGGGTGGAGTTTAGCCTGTCAATCAGGTCCCAGCTTGATGACCTCATTAGGAGGCACTAAGGAGATAAAGAGCTCGCTGAAGGAGGGACACACACACTCCCTGTGAGACATTCCTGCGACAAGACAAATGGAGTTACGCTAGAGCCCTGGACCTGAAGGAGCACATGGAGACCCCTGCCAGCGCTGAGATGCTTCCACGCCACTGGATCCACAAGACTTCCCACCCACTGGCCTGTGATCTTTTTGCCTTTGACGGTATCGCATGGCTGTGTGAGTCTAAAGAGGAATTTATGGACTGGTATTGACATATGAGGTAATATCAGACTTATGGACTTGATCTGGACTGGGATGTTTCCTTAATGAATACATGAGTCTCACAGACTTGTTTCTCTGGTCCATCCAGACCAATACACCTAAAGGAAACTTAGAGGACTTCCACTGCACAAGCAAAGGACTGGCAATTACAGAAAGCTTTCCAAACCCATACTAATATTGTTTTACATTATTATTAGTTTTAAAAGTGAAGAAAAACTTCTCTTACTTGCTTTTCCAAAAAGTGCGCAACCCTGGTCCTCTGTTCTTTAGGAATGGTAGGGAGGACCTTATCAGCCATGCTGAAGTCCCTCCGCATGACGGCCGTCTGGTACTCCAGCACAGAAACCAGCAGGGAGTAGCTGACAATGTTCAGTTCTTTATCCCCCAGATAGAGCCGATTGTCTTTTGGAATATAGCCCAGGAGATACATGGTCCTACAATAAAAACAGAAACCAATTCAGAACTGAGCCCAAATCTTGAGAACAAGCACATACACCCTCCCGCTGAATACTGAATGATAGGTATCTCTGCGCCTATTGATCAAACTTCCCATTTGGTTGATTTAATTTTACTAATAATAGTCCATCTACTAAAATTTTCAACATGGAAAAATCAGGCTCTACTCTACTCTTGTTATAAGGAGCCCTGGTGGCGTGGTGGGTTATACGTTGGGTTGATAATGGCAAGGTCAGCAGCTCAAACCAACCAGCTGCTCCTTAAGAGAAACACGAGGCTTTCTACTCCTGCAGAGCTACAGTTTCGGAAACCCCCAGAGGCAGTTTGCTCTGTCCTCCAGGCTCATCGTGAGTCAGAATTGACTCAGTTGGTCATGAGTGTGGTTGTGTGTCCTCGTGCTGCAAGCCAGCAAGGGCTGGTTTGAACAGTATGCTTTTAAATTCATGAGACTGGAGAGGAAAGCAAGATGACTCAGCTACCTGTCCAAGTGAGCAATAGTGACAATCTCCCCTCCCACGTAGTAATTTAGTCTGTTGACAGAACTGGTGTAAATGAAGCAGTCGCCGACCCACAGCCCCGTTTTCACAATTTCTTGAATCTCACCAAGAACCTGCAAAAATAAAACAAGATAAATAAAAATCCATACCAGTGAATCAGCCAGAAACTAAAGCTGAATATAAACAAGATAGGAAGGGAAGGTAGGGAAAGTAAAATTCTACTTCAAGAAAAAAAAATGTTCTTCTTCATGTAAGAACAAATTTCCAGACAAGCATTTATAATGTGAAATCTCACAGCTGGGGCACAGTTGAGGCCCCTTATACCCGTGAACCTTTAGTAACACAATTTCAAAAATGCATGCAGGCCATCACCACAATGGAGGGGACTCGATGGAAAATCTTGGACTACCAGATCTCAGTATCTGAACAGAGATCTCCTAAAGTGAAAGCAAAAAGTTCTTTTAAGCATATATGCTTTTAAAGTCTGATCTTTGAGTTAAGATGTTAATGTTCCCTTTTCACCAAAAGTTCTCCTTAAAGGCTTAGCTTCCCGGACTGAATTCATAATCAAACGTTGCAATCTGTGGAGTTCTGTTCTAAGATTATGAATCATGTGAAAACAAAGCCAAACTGCACTGCTGCCGCCGCCGTTACCTCAAAGGCATCTTCAATGCCGTCTTCAGTGACCCCTTCGTGCGTCTCCTGTGCGGCTAGGACTTTTTCCGACAGATACTTCAGGATGAAAAAGGATTCCTCGGTGGCAATACACACCAGCTCCCCGGAATCAGACCAGAAAATCTGCAGCACAGTCAACAAGAACACAGGCAAGGGATTGGAGATTTCTGGGTGGCAACATGGGGTTATATGTTTTTCTTACAAGAGCTGACTTCTTGGAATAAGATCATTGGTATGTGCTTAACAGCTCCAGGTAGTGGCTACTATGTGCATCTAGGCGCCGCAGGCACTTGCATTTGGCCTGGGGATGTGAAGACTGCGGGGGGGTGGGGGGGGGACGACGACGCAGGCAGCCTGGATAAGCTGTCGGTCAGTGGAACAGGTGTCACTTCCAGTTACTGAAGAATACTCTTTCCCAATTCCTTTTCATTATCACCTCCCAAAGGAGCCTACACATCGTCTCCCCAGCTGTACCTCGTCCCTAGGAAACGTAAATACCACCACTCTGTATCATGTGCATCTATGTGTGTGTCTATATATACAACGTCTGTACACACAAGACACATATACATCTGTACTTTACACATAAGAAGGGTAAATGTTTTTCAACCTCCACTCAAGAACCAATGTGAGCCCCCTGCCCAGCGCATCTCGCCCGCAGAGAATGCCTGCACTCGAAGGAAGATGCAGGACCAAGGGGTGTGAGCTCTGCAGGGGCTGGTTTGTCTCCAACGAGAATCTCCTGGAAATGAAGCTGTCAGACAAAGCAGCAGGCAGCTATGAGAGGAGCTTTCCATCACTGGAAACATTCTCCTCCCGTTTAAACAGCCAGCCTCAGGAAGCGTATGAAAAGACTTTCTGAACAGTGTGGGAGCTTCCTAGGCCTGACCATGTCGAGTCCCTGATTATTTTCTTTGTCAAAGATTATCTAAGACATGAAGAGCACCTGGCCTTTGTATAACTGCATGCTTCAGAAACACTTCAGTGTCTGTCATGTTCAAATACCACAGTACAGTGCTCTTTTTCCAGCTTCCCCGAGTAGGTGGCAACGTGTCTGACACAATGTAACAGGGACAGCAGGGCACAGAACATTCCTTGGCCATAGGGACCCACAAAGCCACATGTTTGAAAAGAACAAAGGAGGGAAAACGCACGTGTTTGGGCTGAATTTCAATTCTGCGTATGAGCTCTGTGTTGTCCCAGTCGTAGAAGGCTAAGCCATTTACAGACCGGACCCCCAGTAGGAAGCCTCCATAGATACCTAAAAGGACAGAAAGGGGTGTTCAGGTGTTTCTGAGCTCAACAAAGCGCTGACATCTGCACTGTGCATAAACATACTCACTTTCTGCTCCAAAATCTGGTTTAAATGATTTCTTTTCTTTAAAGTTCTTAAATATTTTTACAACACTGTTGCTCTCTCTTATTGCATATCTGCGGGAGAAGAGGAAGGCAAACAAAGGACATTACAAACGAAACCATACTTCCACCAAATGTCAGAAATATCTTAAAAGTATTTTGACAAAACTATAAAATTGAAGATTAGCAGATTCCCTAGTATGTTCTTTTCCCAGGAGATACAAGTGAGCTTGGAGTTGGAAGAAAAGTGATCCGATTTCACACTATTGCAGATTGCTTGAGCTTCTATAATGGTTTAGAACCTGGAAATACCTGCAATCTCATGTGGTAATGCAGACAGTGGAACAAAAAATTAGAATTGGCTACCCCCAGTTGATTCTGAGGCATAACCCCTACTCAGTTTAGAGGGGTAGCCCCCCGCTGATAATGATGCATAGCTCAGTTTAGAGGGCAAGCAATTCATGAGCTGGAATGTTGCTTCAGATCAACAAGTATATAAAATTGTGTATGTATGAGTGTACGTAGGATACTGATGAAAACATCAAAATCACTCCTGATCTCTCAGTAAATCTTACTGCTTAAAATGTAACAAACAGATGTGTTCGTTTTACAGTGCAATACGAGGGCTGAAGCTGCCCTCCTGGGGGCAGGGCAAGTGCAGTGGCTGGGAAAAGCAAACCAGCAGGGAAGGTGACGTGCAGTTTGGGGCCGTTCAGTTGCATGGCCCAAGAACACCAGGACTGGTGTTTAGTCCTTGCTCACGCAGGACTCAATGGAACCAGAGCAGTGACTTTCTAATATAATAATTCAGTAAATGATTTTCTTTTCAGAGAAAATATTTTATGAACATTATAATTCAGACAGGAATTTATTTTTTTGAGAAATAGGTGTTTGTGTGGATGTGGGGGGTGTGGGGTAGGCATCACCAAACAGAGAAGTGAGCTTGAACAAAGATTCCGTGCGGTCTGACTGGGCACAGCACGTCTCCCACCAGCTTCCACAGGGGCAGCCACATCTTCAGGTACCAGCATGAGGGAAATAAAGTCACCGGGAGGGCCTGCTAAGGACCGCGTTTGAGGACTGCTCTTCCTTATAAGCCCATAATCACCAGGCCGCGTGGGTGGCGGGTCTTGGTTTAGTGGGATTATGAGGTCAGCTCTGGTCTGCCAGATTCATACTAAATACCGAGAGGACAAAGACGGCCAGGGGGCAGATCGCTGCCCCAACTCCACCCTTCCCACAGGCGGCCCAGAGAGGGCAGTCTTTACATGGAGCCCTGAAGCCCCGGCTGAGCCAGGCGGATCCCCATTAGGGCACTTGAACACAGATCACCTGGTGGCAGTCAGGGCGAGCTGGGAATCACCGAGGGAAACTTACTCTGAAGAATCGTGGGCCCAAGCAAACTCCTGGGCAGATCCGAAGCTCTTGTTTCTCAGGGCCATTGCTGTGTAGATGATGTACTCGCCATCGCCGCACACCACAACAAACCTAGCAATGAGTCAGACGGGAGTACAGGGAGCTACAGACATGCAGAAGCCAAGAACCAAAGCTTCCCCTGATCTGGTAACCAATGCTGTTGCCGTTGAGGGTTACAATTTAACCAAATCGAAGACTTTTTACACTATACATGTCTCTGAAAGCAGAGCTTGAAAAATATTTCTGCCAATCAAACCCAAAGCAAGCTACGGAGATGGGGTTACTGCTATTGCAATGGTCTTCTCTTAGGAACATGTCAAGACTGGGGAGGCTGCAGATTGCGGATGAGGTGGGACGTGTACTCCAATCTCTCAACTGGGATTGGTTGAGCATCAGCTGGGCTACCAGTCTGTTCATTCCATCTACCTGAGTGGAAGGCACTATCTTGCTATGTAAGACAACCTTCATTTTAAAGCTGGTCATTCAAGGAAGTAAAAGTTTTATTAGTTTTAAAATTTATCAAAATAAGCAGGATATATTAACAGTTAAATACTTAAAGCATCATATTTAAATAATATCATGTACACACAAGTAAAAATTTCTCAAAACACATCAACCAGCTCAACTGCCATTTAGAATACTGAATGGCTGTTCCCAAAGGACTGCTGAGGTAACATTCACGGCAAAGAAAGGCCTTGATTTAAGGAGGACTACACGATGTATTCCTAATCCTCATAAAGCAACTCCATCAGAATGATTATGGGTACCAACTCTTGGACTAGGTATCAGTCTTTTTAAGCAATTAGGGTAGTGTTAGGCTCTGACCTGTAAAAGAATCTCTGTAGCTACCCAGTTTAAACTCCCCGCGCTAGAGCCTTGGTGGCATAATGTTTACAAGCTGGGCTGTGATGCACAAGGTCAGCAGTCCAAAACCACCAGCAGGCTGAGAGGGCTTTCTACTCCTGAAAACAGTACAGTCTCAGACACTCACAGGGCATCGCCTCGATGGCAATGAGTGAGTCCAAAGCAGCTAGTTCAGTGATTAATAAGCCTTAAGAGATGACACAGAATTGAAAGTTTAAATTCCAAATAAGCAGCAGAGTTACTAGCCAGGCTTTTTTCAAGAGACAACTGGTACCTGAAGAGCAACCAGTCCATCAGGATGTAAGTGGCACCTACTGAGTCTTAGGGTAAGACACGGTGCTTGTCCGCACTCAAAGGGGCACACAAACCCTGGGAACTGGAGTAATCATGAGATGACGTAACTGTTCAGAACTGGGTGGCACAGGAAAGGCCAGAGGGCAGATGGGACCTGCCGGCTCCATCAGCTGGCGTGGCTGCCTGTAGCAGCTGTGTGAAGGCTTCTTGGGTGGCTCCCACAGGACAGTGGTGGCACATGCCCTGGAGAGGACCCTCTGCTCTCACATCCACAGGCACTCAGAGAGAGACCACTATGATCACTTACCGTCCGTTAGGGTTGTGCTGAATAGTCTGAGGGTATATCTCACAACTACCCATATCCTTCACTGCCAGCGGCAATCTTTCCCCATCCTTAATTTCAGCATCCCCCATTGCTTTCAGGTTGGCCTGCTGGACTTCTGAATGCTTGGCCCAAATGATCTTCCCATTGGCATCCATGGACATGGCAGGTTCTTCCCGGCCAAGCTGGAAGAATGACAATGGCTCTTAGCAATGAAAAGGAAAGCAGAGAAAACCTCAACAAAACAGACACTCTCTTGTTCCAGTTCACCGAGAGATTCTATTTCCTTGTCCATTTTAAATCTGCAGCACTGGCGCTCGAGTGTTAAAGGAAGAAGTGCCCGTTTAACAAAACCGCTGTCTCAGAAACAACGATACTGCTGCAGGAAAACTGCTTCCCCTCGGTCCACCTACTTAGCTCGGCAGGGGAACTCTAGACCTTACCTTCACAATGATGCTCCCTTCATCGTAGCCCAAAGCGACATTGTTCGACCCTCTCAGACTGGCCACACACCATACTCTTTCCATTCCGTAGTTGAGTGTGCTCTCAAGACGGTAGGTGCTTGAATGCCAAATACGCACGGTCCCTAAAAAGAACAACGAGAATGTTCCCTTTTTGTTTGAAGGTCCAGGGAACTGTCAGGGGAAACAGCTGCGGGCAAGTCTTTCTTCAAATAGGAAATACTTCCTGGCAGCTTGTGGACCAATTTTTTTTAATTATGTCAATGATAAGTGATTTATAAAGCAACATAAAGAAACCTAGGGGAAAGTATGAGAAACAGAACCTAAGAAATGTGACTTTATGTGTGAGCTGCTAACAGGATCGGGGCTGAAGGCCCAGCGGGCACCAGGTCTCTTCTCATGGGAGCCCCGCCTCCATGCCTATGAATGGATATTAGTTGTTTCATAATCTGCTAGATCCACCTCCACAGAGTAGCAGGGGTGGAATCTGCTGCCAAAGCACATTCCTTCTTACTTCTTCTCTACCATAGCTGGTGTCCTCCAATTTAGGTGACGGATGGAAGCACAGTTGGATGGTGATGCCTCTTTAACTGATTCGATAGCTGAAGTCTAACACAATTCTCAGAAGCCTCCAGCTACAAGGCAAGGGCACTTCCTGGCTTTAAAATCCATTTAATATTTACAAGCAAAAGAGTGGTGGGGGGATTCTCACTTACCATCTTCTGAACCTGTGATGATGATTGGCAACTCAGGATGAAAACTGGCACAAGACACATTTTGGGCATGGCCCTCGAGGGTCTGCACGCATGTTTTATTCTGTGTGCAGAAAACATCTTTTCTTAGAGAAACATAGGCAAGCCATCCTTAATCGTCCCAGTGCACAGGCACACTATAAATGACACCATATGGAAGCACAGAAAAAAAAGTGTTCTTGCTATGCCTGTGAACATTTTCCCTAACTATCCAGGCAGCATACAAGCAAATTCAAATGTAACAATCACATGCAGAGAAAAAAAAACATACTGGAAGATTTTGGTTTTCATACAAGTACTATTCCCTGTATTCCTAGGACAATGAATTTCCCCTCAAAATCAGCACCTACTCTCTGTGGTCTATGTAGAACAGTATTCCTTTAGCCTTTAATATTTGTGTTCTGGATTTAAGCACAAATTTTAATAAACTATAAACTAAAACTGTTTTTGTACACTTCATTTAATTAACTGCTTGAGGAAATATTCCCATCTGAGAGGCAAAAACAAAAGAAAACCTTAAGCCATAAAATAGCACAGTAACTAGTTGGTAACTAGGTTTATAAAAGTTTTAGGCGGCAAAATGACATGTACCCTGGCTATGTCACAAGGTTAACCACTGATTTGCTGGTACCAAATATAAATGTTTTGCCAATGAGAATATTGGAAGTCAGAATTGATTTAAATGACTCTTAAGTGAAAAATCATACCCTGGCATTCAATTTAAAATCGTGATTCCATTTATTTTAATCAGCGTGAAAAGCGAGGAACTGCCGTTTAGATGGACATACCGCGGCCTTCGGATATGCTGCTGCCTGGAGATCAGCACGCCGAAGCGGAACTCTCCCGTGAGCCATGGTGGCAACCATACCTGACATGTGGCAAGCGAGGTCATAGAAAAGCTGTACCTGGTAGTCCCATATTTTAACAAGCCGGTCATCTGCCCCTGAAATGAGGTAGGGTTTGTCGCCACCGCTATAGTAATCAATGCAATTCACGCCTTTCTCATGTCCTTCCAGAGTGAAGTTTGGCGACGAAGAGCCCAGCTGCCACACCTTCAGAGAGCAGAGCACCTGCGAGTCAGTCTGGGCCCGGTCTCTCCTGACACATGCGTGCATGTCTGCACACCAAGTCAATGCCACGTGTGACTTTGCTGTTAGGTGCTGTTGAGTCGGTCTCAACTAACATCAACTCTATACAACAAACGGGAGGGAGCCCTGGTGATTACGCAGGTCAGTAGTTCGAAACCACCAACTGCTTTCTACTCCTGGTAAGAGTTAGTCTCAGAAACCCACAGGGCAGATCTACTCTCCTAGAGGGTCACTATGAGTTGGAATCGACTCAACAGCATTACATTTATAGGCAACAAGTCTATTTTTTTATTCTGGGTTTCCAGAGGCTTAAAATATCTGACAGCATATTCACGTGGAAAATTACTTTCATTATGGGCTACAATTGCCACACAGTTTTTTTTTGAAGTAGAATATGACCCTTTGAATTAAAGTGAGAAGATCTCTTTCTATTTCAAAATTCACTGGTGACAGGAATAACTTTCTGGGCAGCCAGTAGTAAGGCACTGACCGCTTCCCTCCACTGTAATCATCACTGTCACAAACAGTGGACCACGGTCTTACCTTGATGGTCCTGTCCAGGGAAGCACTGGCGAACTGATTGTTGTCTTTGGGGTTGATCACAATCTGCATGACGTAATGGGTGTGCCCTTCGAACACTTGTGAACACGACCATTTTTTATCCCAGTCCCACAGCTTAATGAGCATGTCATCTAGGCCAAGAGATAGGCTCGAGTTAGTTGCAATGTCTGTTCCTTTCCTTTCAGAACTGATACCCTAAGTTCTTGTGTCTTTTAAGGCAGGAACCTACCAATATTAAATTATACATCCTGAGACTCACAGAAATGAATGAGAACTGAATAGATTTTTTCCAAGTCCTTATTTATCTTAAAAAAGGAATGTAACTCTCTGGAGACAAGCGAAGATAAACTAAATGGCACGCTAGCAGCAAACTGTAAGAAACACTTAACTCTGAGACTAAAGCATGACAAAAGGCCTGGCCAGGTGGGGTGAGAGTGCAGTGACTGCGCGATGATGCTAGCGACTGCAGGACAATCACGTACGTGTCAGCAGCCAGGCGGTCACCACACACCTTAGTCCCTTCTCAATCTCAAATCTGAAGGTGCTGGAAAGGCCTTTTATGGACTCAGTACCACTTGTCTTAATTGGCCTTCTAACGGGCTCCCGATTTCTACCCACTAGCAAGGAGCAAACTCGTTGAATCTAAAGACAAAACTGACCAGGCCAACGCTCGCTCAGCAGCATGCAAATGAGCTTTGTGTCCAGATGATTAAGCATCTAGGCCTCAAGGCCTTCTCTACTGGAATCTCAGCAATTGCTATACAAGTCCCAGGTACCAGATGATATTTCATTAAAACACAGAGGAAGGCAGTGCCTACACTGCATGCCAATGGATTTAAGTAGTTTAGAGGCTGCCTGGAATCAGAACAGCTTTTAATGGCTGTAAAATGGTAGCATGTAGCCCCAAATGAAACTGAATTACCCACAGAGCGATGCACATCAAGAAGGGCTCAGCTCTTACCGCTGCTGGTTAGAATGAAAGGCTGGGTTGGGTGAACAGCGATGCAGCGAATGTAGTCGGAGTGTGCTTCAAACATGTGAACTCTCTCCAGAGTATTGTAATTGAACACTCTAATCTGCATGTCATCCTAGGAATGAAAGAGTTCACACTATCATCACTGTCCTGACATCAATAGTACGAAAGCTACGTTATACACTCAAGGAACGAAGGCCGTGCTTCAAAATATTGTGTCAATTTTTTAAAAATTAGGAATTAAATTTCTGCAATTCATTTATACCAGGGGTCCTCAAACTTTTTAAACAGGGGGCCAGTTCACTGTCCCTCAGACCCGTTGGAGGGCCGGACTATAGTTTAAAAAAAACTATGAACAAATTCCAATGCACACTGCACGTATCTTATTTTGAAGTAAAAAACAAAACGGGGCAAAAACACCCGGTGGGCCAGATAAATGTCCTCGGCGGGCCGTCGTTTGAGGACGTCTGAGTGATACCATTGTGGCCAATTCGGAACGGAAGGAGGTTCATGTAATCACTTACCGCTCCTGTCACAACCCAATTCTTCCTTGCAACAAACTTCGCAGCCCGAACAGGAAGGTCACACACTTCGAACGTCTTCACCAGAGTCTTAAAAATTCAACAAGAACAGAGACCTTTGATATACACGTATTAGAAAATAGCTGGGAAACTACTCTAACACAATGAAAGTGTTCAGTTATTCAGATCACTTTGATTTTTTTCGTTGCTGTTAGTAGTAATTTGCTAGATTTATTTATTTTTTCAATTTTTCAGTCTTTTTCCCAATATCCAGACCATGCAGAAGAGAGAAAATGATTATTTTCATCTCAAATTGCAAGGGTCTCATATATTTTATCCCATGCGTATAACTGCACATATCTATTTTTTTTCCAGTTTTTTCCAACAGTTTTATTGACAAATAGTTTACATATCAATATTTTACAATTTACATCGTTTATAATTCAATATTTCAATTATGAGGAAAATCATATATTACCACATCAATTTTAGAGCACCCCCCCTGCAAACCCCACCCATGGCTACCTCGCCTTTAAAATGAGTTGTACAATCACAATCCATTTTAGTGCTCCCTCCTTCATTATTTACTCCCGAGATCACACAGCCCTCACCCCTGTATCCCTATGTCCCCTTGCATCAGCCAGCTATTATCATTCTGTATCCACACCTCCAATGCTTCACAGCTGGGAGACCCAACAGAAAACAATAAAAAACAAAATCACCCTAAGGTGGTAAAGATAAAATCACAATAGTATAAAGACAAAAATACAAATAATGCATAAGAAGGAAAAGATCCCCATCAACATTCAAAAAGCCAGGGAAGAAATTTCTGTCATGGAACCAGTAAGAGACACTTGCACCCAGAACAAATTCAGGTCGCGTCTATTGGTGGTCAACTGGCCAAGTGTATAATCAAGATTACAATGGTCTTTGCCTCATAGTAAGGCTGTTCAATACCGTGGCTAGCGTGAGATCACTTTGAATTTTAAAATACTGTCAGACTATAACACATTAAAGCTGTGGCAGTTACAGAATCTAGTGTCAATTTGAGACTATTAAGAGTGAAGGGATGGAATCTAGCCTGTCAATCAGGTCGCAGCTCGATGACATCAGTTGGAGGGGCCACGGAGATAAACAGCTCACTGGAGGGGGGGTTACACAGACACTCCCTGCGAGACATTCCTGTTAACAAGACACATGGAGCTACGCTACAGCCATGGAGCTGAAGGAGCCATGTGGAGACCCCTGCCAATGCCAAGATCCTTCCACTGCCACTGGATCCACAAGACTTTCCACCCACTGGCCTGTGATCTTGCTGCATTCGGCGTCACTGCATGTGTTGTGCAAGTCTGAAGAGGACTTTATAGATTGGTATCAAACATATGGGCTAATATCAGACTTATGGACCTTATCTGGCCTAGGCTGGGATGTTTTCTCAATATACAATTACTCTTTATATAAAGCTCTTTTTATACAATATGCATATTTATAAATTTGTTTCTCTAGTCTACCTGGCCTAACACAAAAGCTAAATATCAAACAAAAAACAAATAGCTGATCATCTTTTCTTCAACAGCTTCAAAACTGAGATACTTGAAAAAGTTTCAGAGTTCCTATTTTAAAGTTGTTTCTATTTTAAATTAAACCCCTGGCAGTGACTCAAAAACAAGACTGGATCTTTTGTGCACTTCGGCAACATGCTTCCCTCCTAACGTTACTAATGTTACTTTTTAGTGAAGTATGAAATCAAAGTGGTTTAGAGTTCCTTCAAGTAGGTCAAGGTCAAAATATAAAAATTCACACAATGATTAACACATTGCTGAACACCCAGTTTGCAGAAGGCTGTAAATGACAGTGAAATCCCAAAATCCATTTGCAGAGTCCCCAAATGGATTAAGCATCTGGCGAATCCCCTCTGACCACTGAACCGGGACGTGAATAGTCTTGCTATCAATAAAGCACATTGGAATGTTGGTTGTGACAGATGCAGTTACGCTAATATTTAACACCGTATCATCTGATTTCCCTTTTGACCCATTTTAAAGTTGCTTCAGCTTTTAAATATTTTCTGCTTTCTTTTCTATTGAGGTTTTTCTCTGTCTGATTTTGTTCCTATTCTTGGGGGGTTTTGTTTTGCATGTTTTTTTGCGGATGGACTAATAATTTCTTAGGGACACGGCAGGGGCGGTTGGGGGAAAACAACGAGCCAATGACAATGAGTACAAGAAAAAAGAAAATGTTCTAAAACTGATTGTGATGAATTGAATTGAATGGGAGGAAAATGACGGAATGAGGGTATCAGTTCCATACTGTACAACTGGTACCAAAAAGTACTCCTACAAAAATCATAAAACCCTTACTAAGCAAAAATACCCACACGTAAAGCTACTGTTTCTGTACAGAGCCTCCATCTTGGGACAGTCTCCACAACCTTGAGACGGACGAGCTACTGTCCGCCTGCCCCTGCCAACCGCTCTACAAAGCATCCCATGAGAAGGTCCTGGACAGAACGGCGAAACATGTGGAACAAACCCCAAACCATAGCACGGACCAGGCTGACTGGTGGAGAGAGACGAGTGGGACTCCCATAGGCACCCTGCAGGTCTGCAGCTGAACTCACCTCTGTGATCAAAAGGCAGCATTTTACCAATGACAAAGTTCAGAAAGTTAGGAGAGGGAGGAATGGAAACAGGAAATACACGGAAAATAAAGGAGTAAGTGATGGTATATTGCGGGATCACAACAGATGAGTGGAAACAAAATGTGTATAAATTGTTGAATGTAAGACTAAGGACCTGTTCTGTGAACCTTCACTCAATTCACAATAAAAAGCTGAAAAGAATTGGCAGGTCTACTCTTGCCTCCCAAGTCAGACTTCAAAGACTAAGACTGAATGAACAAGGGCCTCAGCTCCATGTTACCAGGTAATCATGAGACAACGAGGGCAAAAGAATGTCAGAAAGAACAGCCAGCTACACGGTAGAAAAATGCGCAAAAGCTCATAAAGAAGCAACAAAAGGATCAGGATCCGGTGAGCAGTGAAAATAAGACAGATATCGAACAGGCAGTCATGGTTCAGCACCATGTCTAAGTGCCTTGGTGTGACAACTGACAGGAGGAACAGTCTCTGTCTCTGTTGTTGGTGGAGCTATGAACCCCATGTCCCTAGAAACTAAATAATCTAAAGAGAGAGAGAGAGAGAGAGAGAGAGAGAGAGAGTGTGTGTGTGTGTGTGTGTGTGTGTGTGTGTGTGTGTGTGTATGGGGGGGGCTGCATATCTACAATGTGTGCTAATGCTCAGTGTAAGTTAAGAAAACATTCACTGATACTTATTCACTAATCCTTTTTGGGTTGCACACACACAACTTTACCTAGCTTGATTAGATCTTTGCAGCCCTGTGATGTAAGGAAAGCAGCATTTCATCTTTATTTCAAAAAAGTAAATTGAAACTCAGAGGGTTAAAAGATTTGTTCAGGTCATTTAATCAACAAGTTGGTGTCATACCTTAACACAGTTTTCTTTTTTACTATTGCACCCACCTGAGAAGACATAAATATCTTATTTTAAATTCTAGTATTTTGAATTTCCTTCCAAAACATTCTTCCCTTTCTTTTTTTGGCTCACTCCAAGAATTTTGCTCTCAATGTATTTGAATGCTTAGTAACTCCTGCTGGGGATAATTAAGAGAAAAAAACCCAAGGGAATCAAAGATGGAGCAATCATTTAAGAAAGACATAGTGCGCATCCACTATGAACGAGACACCATGCCAGGTAGCATGCCCTACTCTGGAGCAAAGTGTTGATCAGACTAGTGTGATCTCTGTTTTCAAAGAGCTTCAGTTTTGGAAAGAAGAGGGAGATGAAATAAAATACCAAGTGAGATGAATTATGAAAGGAGAAGCAGAGAGCAAGTTGGAGGGCGAAGACAGTACAACAGAAAAAAGGACACGCAGAGGGTGACCCAGATAAAGTTAAGGTACACAATGATTTCCCAAAGGGAAGTCCTATGGGAAGTACATCTACATACTACAACGAATGATAAGGAGTCCTGGTGACACTACGGGCTACGTGATGGACATTACTGCAAGATTGGTAGTTCAAAACCACCAACTGCTCTGTGGGAGAATGATGAGGCGGCTTGCTTCCGTAATGGTTTCGTCTTGGAAACCCTATATAAGTTGGAATCATTCGACGGCAGTGGATCTGGTTTTGGCATAGTGAAATAATACAGCTAAGAGATCGGTAAATGGAGTGGTGGAGATCTGAAGGCAAAAAATCAGAAAGTCTAAATATTTAGATGGGGAATTAGTTTTTTTTAATGCCTATTAGCATGCCTATTATCTGCATCAAGGTAAAAGGAATTCACAGGTTAGACACCTGAAATTGCAGGAGATGGAAATCTTGAAAGTTTTCAAGGGTAAACTGAATGCTAATTATTCACTAGTGCAACAAGTAATTACTGCACACTTACTATACTGTTAGCAACACTGGGATCTAGTGGTGGACATGAGGTGTACACAAGTCACTGACAGGACTTGTTCAGCCTTTACTGCTCCATTTTGATGAATAAACAAATTCCAGGGTGCTTTCAGGTTTATCTACCTCCTGAGTTGGTTCCTAATCCTGTTTTCTCAGATAAAGTTTTCAAATGTAAATTTTAGCTGGACTTAAATTTGAACATAAGCATGGTGTTTAAGTAGCTGCCTAACTATGTTGAGGTGTGGTAAACCAAAGCCAAACCCACACCAGTCAGAGTGGCCCCCAAGAACAAAGCAGACTCTCCCTTGTATGTTTCCAAGGCTGCAAATCTGTACGGGAGCTGACTGCCCATCTTTCCACTAGGAGCAGCTGACAGTTGTGACCTGTCAAGCTTCAGGTAGCAGTCAAGTCCTTTAAGCACTGGACCACCATGGCTCCTTCTGTATAATGTCAACTACATATTCTGTAGTGGGGGAAAAAGATAAACTGATCAATAAAGACTGTGGACAATAGGAAATAAACTAATTTAAAGAATACATTATTTACTCAGGTGAAAGAATGATGTTAAGACTTAGGGCAGATTATTTACAAGATATACACATACATAAATATACATATATATACAGACACATAATCCCATGGACACAATCAAAAGAGGACCACAAACATTTCTAATATGATCTGATCCATACGGCTGAAAACAATTTATCTATATAACACTATTTGGGAAAAAATGTAAAATAAAAAATCTCCTTGCTACAACTGTCAGACTATTCACCAAATGGAAAAGTAATTATCAAATATTTTAGCTGGAGTAAGTGATTCTCTATCAGCCTGTTTCCTCAATTTCTCACAGGGCCAATCCTACCTACATCAGAATTGCTATGTTATTTGGATACTGCATAGACAGTGCTCACCATTTCTTCCATGTTCATGTTAGTTCCTCGATATTGAAAATATTTTGCACTAATTTGAGAAAGCGGTTTGTGTCTAGGTACTGGACTCTGATATGTTATTTCTTCTTGTTACTATAAATAATCTAGAAGAGTGTTTGCTTTCTACCAGTCCTTAAAAGCTCCCACCTGGGTTTCATGATTCCACACGCACACGCTGCCATTGTACAAGCTTGCCAGCATCCACGGCTCTGTAGGGTGCAAGTCCACACTCTTCACTCGGTCAGACCGAGCAGTTAGCTTTCTCTTGATGTCAAGTCGCAGTGGCTAAGGAGGAACAACAAAACCTTACATTGCTAAGCCAAAGAAGCACAGTATCTCATACAGTACATTAACAATACTGTAATAGCAGGTAAATAAAAATTCCATTTTTACTTTGCAAAGTTGTGTACAGTTTCAATTTAAAGCAATCGTTTTCATTTTAAAAAATGGGAATAATCGAAAATTAAATGTTTATAGCAATAGCTCTCAAACGTCTTGGTCTCAGACCCCTTTACATTCTTAAAAATTCTGAGGGTCCCCAAAAGCATGTTTATGGGGATACAGCTATTAATACTGATCATATTAAAAGCTAAAACTGAAAAAGGTTGAAATAGGTATTAATTATTTTTAAACAACAAAAACATTCCCCTAACAGGTTACCTTAAACAATATCTTCATGAAAAATACTTTTCAAAATAAATCTTGTCACAAGCAGCAGTTGTTGTTTTTTAAATAGAAGAGGGTTAGTTTCTCATACCTGTTTCTGCCTTCAATCTGTTGTAATGTATTCTTCCAACTGACTTATAAAAACCCAGCTTCACACAGAATTTGTTGGAAGAGCAGTATTTTAGTATTCCTTTTGGGTTAGTTGTGAATATTCTTGATATTACATCAAAACTTGAAAAGTAGCTGTTCTTACAGGCAACTAAATAATGTGCAATATGAAACCTTATCAAAGCAACAAAGCGCTGTGAATTTTACATTGGATGTATTTTTTACACATGCACAATTTTGTAACATGATTCACTGGCCATTTAGAAAATGCTGGCTCACTGAGTTATGCAGAATCTCCAAATACAAGGGGACTTCAAGAAGTTGATGGAAAAATTACCTTACACTTCTTAATTCCATTTGTCCACACACTCTATGAAGCCCTCTCCTATGGACATAGTCCATTACACAGTATCAAAACTCATATTCCTACCATCACCGGAGATCTTGACTCATAAGTCTTTTAAATTGTAGAAATCTGTCAGGCTCATGGTCTGACATGATTTTTGGAATGAGGACAGAACGTATAACTCAGGCCTAGAAAGTTATCCTGCCTGGATTCAAATGTTAGATTTGAACAACTCAATTTAGATGTGCAATAGTGGGCAGGTTTATAATCCCTTTCAGGTTCAACATATATAAAACAAGGATAGTACTATTAGCTATTAGGGTATCATGAGTTACGTATTGGGCTGCTAACCAGAAGGTCTGCAGTTTGAACCCACCAACACTCCACGGGGGAAAGATGAGGCTCTCTGCTCCCATAAAGACTTACAGCTTCGGAAGCCCACAGGAATAGTTCTACACTCCTAGAAGGTTGCTACAGTCAGAATTGAATTGATACTAATGAGTTTGCTTTGATTGGGTTTGGAGTGTCATAGCATTAAATTCGATGTCAAGTCCTGATTGCAGTGCCTGGTCTACAGCAAGCGCTAGGAAACATTATTTATAGCTTTATCTCACAGCACTTGAGAATTAGGGAATTAAGAAAGTTTCAGCCAAGTATATGGCACTCAATAAATACTCTCTGGCAAGTGAGATGACAAATTGAAAAATTATCTAAAGATGAAAGAAATGATAATTCATTGTGGAAATACATTCTTCATTACAAATATGGCAAGAGGAATTAAATTTTGCAAGTCCAAGGTTCTTTTCTGAACATGTGTGTCACTGCAAGCATTGCAGACATCAAACCTGGGCAGATCATCGTATAAGGACAGGGTGTAATGCAGAGACCTGGGGCCTTTTGCCCTGGAGATCCATGAAAGTGCAGTTTGTCGGAATGGGAAGTGAGTTGTGTGGTGTGTTGCCAGAGGCTACCACATCAATTCTGACTCACAATGACCTTAGATCAGTGGTTCTCAACCTTCCTAATGCCACCACCCTTTAATACAGTTCTTCGTGTTGCGGTCACCCCCAATCATAAAATTATTTTCGTTGCTACTTCATAACTGTAATTTTGCTACTGTTATGAATTCAATCCCTGTGAAAGGGTCATTTGACCCCAAAGAGGTCACGACCCACAGGTTGAGAACTGCTGGGAGTCAAACTGCAATGGAATTTTAGGTACAACTGTGTAGGTTTGTTTTCAATGCCGCTTTCTCAGAGTACCCATCACTTTGATCAGTTTCTTCAGGGGTTCGACAGCGCATTAAAATGGCAAGCGCTCCTATTCTAGAACCGATTCCGCCACAATAAGTTTTGTTATTTAACTGCAAGATGAGGAACTTGGATTTATTCATCTTTACGGTTTTCATGCTTAAACCCTTTGGTCCTGTGCTTCAGAGCATGCAAAAAAAGAGAATAAGAAAGTGTTATAGGACCTGCCATTCTCACCAGCCACTATACTACCGCAAACGCAACAAAGCACACCAGCCAATCGCTCAGTTAAGATCCTTAGGTCTCTCCTATTGACTCCACATAACTTTATTTACCTCTGTAGTGTGAGGTCGGCATGCACTATACTCGGTACAAACCCAACTTGAACCCAGATGAGTTGTCACCGTTTGAAGGGCAGAACGAGCGAACTTTACCAAGCTGCTTACGTAGTTCAGCATTTCCTGACACTTGGACTCTCCAGGCCACAGATGCCACCGCAGCCCGGAGGCTCTGCGAGGCTCCCGGGGGAGTCTACGACTCCTGTCCTGCAGGCACTGCCTCAACAAGCCACCCTGGATTCCCGGGCCCCAGCGTTCCGCTCCCAGGGCTCTCACCAGAACCCGACCTGGCAAGGCCGGGGTGGTGGCCGCCCCAGATTCGGCCGCGGCTGACTGCGGCTCCAGTCCAGCAGCCCCAGGAGACAGCCATGCCCGGCGGGACCCCGCTCCCACCCCCTGCGGCGCCCGGGCCTACCATGGCTGCGTCCGTCCAGGTCCAAGCGGCCCCGGGAGCTATCAGCCACGGAAGCCGAGAGAGCGAGCCACCGACCGACCCGCTGAGCAGCCTACAGACTGACGTGGAACTTCCGGGAGATGAATCTCGCGATAGTGAGACAGCACAGACCGCGCGCTTGCGCAAACGCGGCGCCGGCCGGTCGTTTTCCAAGCCCCTCCCCTGTTTCCTAGACAACGAGACGGTTCACGCTCTACGGAACCGACGTCGCGTCATTTGGGAGGCGTGGTCTGGACTTGATCGCAGAGAGCCGTGCCCTGCTGCTGCTGAACCAACGTAGAACCGGAAAAATAAAATGAAAAGACGAGAAGATGAAGTGCTTAATCCCTTCTGGACGGTCACACCAGAGGAAATTCTTCTGGACCTCCTCCGATGCCAACATTAAGAGAGAAAAGGGAGAGAGGGGGCTAAGCCAGTGTCCAGGACCGCTGCACTCCTGATGGCGAGAAAAGGAGGCCGAGACGGATATGTTCACCGTTACTGAGCATCATCTGCGTTTTTCATTCATTCCGAAAAATATGTATCAGGCTTCAACGGTGTGTTGAAGACAAGCTTTCAGATGCTAACATCAAACGCGAATCCTATATCCATCTTGCTGATGAGGTAAATAGGTTCAAAGAAGTGTTCTCTCCAAAGTCATAATAAATGGATGTAGTCAGGACTGGCACCCAGGCCTGCTGTAAGGTGCCATTGGGTTGGTTCGACTCATAGCAGCCCTGTGTACAACAACCAACCAACCACTGCCCAGTTCGCTCTCACAATTTTCCCTGCGTTTGAGCCCATCACTGCAACCACTGTGTCATCCATCCTGTCGAGGTCCTGCCTCTTTTTGGCTGCCCCTCTAACGCCACTGAGTATGATGCCCTTCAAGGACTGGTCTCTCCTGACCACATACATAGCCAAAGTATGTAAGACGAAGGCTCACCATCCTTTTCTCTAAGGAACATCCTGGCGCTAAACTTCTGAGATGTGTTTATTCTTTTGACAGCCCATGGCTCTTTCAGTATTCTGCAGCACCGTAATTCAAGCGCTAAATTCAATTCTTCTTCAGTCTTCCTTATTCAGTGTCCAATTTTCACATGAAAATCCCATGGCTTGGGTCAGGGGCACCTTAGTCCTCAAGGTAACCGCCCTGCTTTTCAGTACTTTAAAGAGGGCTTATGCAGTAGATTTACCCGATGCAATGTGTACTTTGATCTCATTGCTGCTGCTTCCACGAGCATTGCTTTGGGGTCCAAGTGAGACGAAATCCTTGACAATTTCGATCTTTTCCCTGCATATCATGATGTTACCTACTGGTCCAGATCTAGAAGTCCTCCAAGTCCGACTACATCAAAGTATCTCTTCATTATGAGAGTTGAACCCTTTTGCCACATAGGGTTGTACAATACAGTTCGAGAGCCTCTGTCTCCACCTACTCTCTCCTGTCACCCCTCTCTCCCCATCTTTTTTATTCTTCTTCAAACACCTCTGGCCAAATAGCATTTGCTCAGGTTTGAGAGAAGCTTTGGAGCTTTTCCAGACGTCTGGGCGTGCTGCTGGCACTGTGTGTTTTGTGCTGGCTTGCTAACTGCAAGATGGTGGCTCAAACCTCGATCCTCAGGGGGAAGATGTGACTGCTCTGTAAAGATTTACAGTCCCAGAGTCAACTCCATGGCAGTGAATTGAGAGTCTAAAGACTACTCATTGTAAAGGCCATGGTTTTAGTCTACTGAGAAATCAACCAAACCAAGCTCACTGCTTTTAAGTCAGTACTGACTCCGCGACCCTATGGAACAGGGTAGAATTGCCAAGGTTTCTGTGACCGTAACTCTGTAAGGGAGTAGAATGTGTCTTTTCCTGAAGGCTGGCTGTTGTTTTCTAACTACTAGCCTTGAGGTTAGCAGCCCAATGTGTAATCACTAGACCACAAGGGCTCCTTAACCCACTGAGGGTGCCTTGCAGAACAGGCCTGGGCATTTGCTTCAGAAGAGTCACAGTGAAGCCCTTGGGACAGCTCTACTGCACACACATGGGGCACCATAAATCAAAGTCCGTGAGCTGGCAGCGAACAGTTTCCCAACCATAAACAACATGTGTGAGTGTGTGGGCAAGAATGTTCAGAGGGACACATGGCCTCTGCATCCGCTCCCTGTGGCTTCTCGTAGGAGCTTAGTCACGTGACCTCTTTCTGAACCTCCGTTCCTTCCTCTTAAAAATAAATACGGGGACGGACAACCGAAAAGTGGGTGAAGGGAGACGTCGACAGGGCAAGATATGACAAAATAATAATTTATAAATTATCGAGGGTCCATGAGGGAGTGGGGAGCGGGGAGGGAGGGGAAAACATGAGGACCTGATGCCAGCGGCTTAGGTGGAGAGCAAATGTTTTGAGAATGATGAGGGCAATGAATGTACAAATGTGCTTTACACAATTGATGTGTGCATGGATTGTGATAAGAGTTGTATGAGCCCCTAATAAACCGATTAATAAATAAATAAATAGCATACTGACCTGGCAGGCGAGATAACATGATCATGGAGGTGATTGTCCAGGGTGAGGCTGGAATGTTCTGACCCCTGAGATTTCCTGAAAGGTGGGGACCCTGACTGCATAGTTTGTGGTAGCAGGGAGAAAATAAATAAATAAAAGTAGATAATTTCTAAAGGTCTTTTCATTTCTAGTGTCCTGTGTTTCTATGACATCCAATAATAGAAGAATAAGTCTGGAATGGGGTTTTAATGCCAGCAGTGTGGTTTTGTGATATATAAATTAAAGCAGATAATTACATATTCTGCCTCCTCAGTGGAGCAATTGAAGATCATAAGAGTTGAGGGAGAATTTTACAGATATGAACTACATCCAATTTGCTCCAAAATTGGAGACTTCATCATTTCTAATTCCTGGATGCTCAGTATTTTAGAGAATTTTCAGATTTGGCACTTTACCAACTAATATAAAATAAATGGTATACCACTGGGGGGTATTTAAGTCCATGCATACCACTAAGCATCCAAGGATCTTCCTACATTCCGTGGATGAAGGGCAGGGTCCCAAGTGTCACTAACTTTGGCTATAATATCTTTTCCTCTTTTTTCCCCCCACTACAACTAGCTAAATGAAATTCCTCAGCTCTGGGCTGAGGATTCATCGTTCGTGCTTTCAGCATTCTATCCTGAATGTGTGGTGTATGTAGAGAGCAATCGTAGGAACGGCCTTAAGATAAACCGAGTCAGACTTGCACGGAGCTGTCTGGTTGGAGATTCTTATGCAAAGAAATTTCATTTTTCAGATGTAAGTGTCTCAAACACAGAATAATACATGGAATAACATTAAACATATGTATATCGATTCCTTTTTGTCCAGCTGTAGGTTTACACACAATTTTTTGTGTATTCTTTGATTTAGAGGAGATTTGAAGGTGAGGAAAAGAGCTCTGGGGAAGAAAAGAAATATGGGCAAGCTGAGCAAAATGGGAAAGGGGTTCCCAAGAGGCTGGTTGCAATTGACCAATAAATCGTAAAGTCTTCCCTGGTTAATTTATAGGGTGGCTTTTTGACCTTGCCTTTTTGCTGCTGCTGCTGCCGCCGCCACCAGGAGAATTCATTCCAAGTGCAGCCAGCAGTACCTCTATCAGCACTGTCCCCTGCAGGCACCCTTCCCTCCCAGGCCTATCCGTGTGTGTGTGTGTGTGTGTGTGTGTGTGTGTGTGTGTGTGTGTGTGTAAATCCACATGCCTCATAATTTGGCAAAGTGGTAAGACCAGGAATGAGAACCCAGTTTCTCCCTTTAAAGAGGTTGTGAGCTGTGCACAGGCAGGGTCAGTCATGCACACATACGTGCATAACTGGCGTGATATGAATGCCACCAGAGGGGAAAAAACAGCTGCCCTGGAGTTGGTTCCAAGTGCCGGCAACGTCATAGATGGCAAGGGGCAGAAACACGCTCCAATGGTTTCCAATGGCTGATTTTTCAGAAATAGACCACCACATCTTTTTTTCTGGAGAGCCCCTGGGTAGATGCAACCCTGCGATGTTCTAACTGGCCCTTTCCAAATGCCTTTGTCCTCAGAGAGAATTACCAGAAGATACTCGGGAAATACAATATCCCTCTGGAGAGACACCGGTTTCATAAAGAAGGCCAAATGTACGCTTTTCCTTGAGATGCAGACTGCACCGTGTGCTTCAGGAAAAGCTGTTTGCTTGGAGAAAGGCGTTCTTTCAGAGCATTGGTGAGAAGAAGCTGGAAGGGGGGCAGGGGAGCTGGAGCTTCATTCAGAGCCTGAAGATTCCTAAATATAAGGCTTGCTAGTCCTGTAAATAGTTGTTCTCAGAAACCCTAAAGGGTCACCAGGACGCAGAATGGACTTGATAGTAGTGAGTTTGGTTTGTAAGGTTTTGTTTTGTTTTAATTATTATTATTCCATGAGCAACTGGGAAACTTCAGGTCCCCCCCCCAAAAATCTGCTGCTATCTGGGGTCAAGGCTGTTTCCCTTTTGTTGATAGGCACAGCACCTGAGATGGAATTGATTGGGACCAGAGGATACATGTGTGGAGGAGCTGGGTTGGAAACCCAGTTTGGAGTGCCTACTGTGTACCTGGCCTTGAGTTGTGCACTTTGTATTCTTTGCGAGTCAGATGGTAATTCTGAAAGGTACATCTTCTTTATTACAGCTAAAATTCTGAGCACTGTCTTTGTTTGTTTGCAGATAACAGTGAAAGCACAAAATCCATTTGCAGAATCCCCACGTGGAGTATGCCACCATTGAATTCTTTCTGACCATTAACATTAACCAGCATGTGAACAATCTTGGCCCTAGGCCGTTTGCTTAGAAAGTGGATTACTACAACCCCCCACCAACCAGCCCAGGGAGGGGAAGGGGCTGGCTTGGGTTTGTCCTTGATGGAGATGGGAGTACTGATATTAAATAGTCAGGAATCATGCCCGGATGGTCTTTGTTACCTATTTTGTAAGCTCTTGGGTCTAGCCTCATGCACCTGTCCCAATCATGTTCCCATTTCCATCTCTGTAATCCTGCCTGCCGCTGTGATGTACCATCTGCCAGCAATCATGCTGCTGAGACAGTTTCCTTATCCGCCCACGAGTCTTACTTGAGCCATCAGTTCTCCAGAGACCCTTGGGCAGCAGGATGACCAGTGCTCATGGTCTCCTTCATCCAGATGTGCCTTTGTCTTGTCTTTTTTTGTTTAAGGCTGAACAAATATTCTCCTCAAATTTATATTTGAAATGTGGGGGCTTTTTTGAGCCCTAAAACATTTCTCCAATATATAGATGATAAACTGAGGCTCAAGTGGATTACGTAACATAGTCCATGCCACACACTTGAGAATGAATGGTAAGCCCAGGATATGAACCAAAGTCTGTCTCTAAAATCAGTGCCCGTTTTACTGGACTGTGATGTCCTCCTTTTCCCTGAGAACATAGAATCAACAGGATACACAAATGATTTCAATGTGTTTTTCCCAAAGAGCTTGCCATCTGAAGAAAGCATATTATGAATCTGACTGTAAAGAAGCACCTCTTGTCTGAATTGTCACTTGACACAATGGCCCGCTTACGGTGTAACAAAATGATCTTGTCTTGATGTGGTGAATCTAATGAACCCAGAGGAGTATCTTGAATTAGAGAACTGGTCAAAGAAGTGGAGCTAGTAAATGACAGAGAATGGGATGATGGGAGTCAGGAGAGTCCTGGACACGCTACAGAAGGGAAGAGGGCACGGGTGATTAGCAGTCTGGATGGCTTAGAGAATTTAAGGAGTATTTAGGAAAACTTGCCAATGAATAAAAGGACTGGGAGGACCCCCAGGAGCTGTCAGCTGAGAGATGCAGGAGAGAGAACTGCCGGAGGATGAAGTGGGTCTGAGGAGGACAACGATCTTTACCGTGAGATTGGTGATGAAAGGGCTCATGTTGACGTGAGAGGTGTCTGCTGAATGTCGGTTAATTGTTCCTGTATTTAGGATGTTGTTCAGACATTAACTTCTTCAGATAACACTAGAACTGACATTCACAGGTAAATGGGTGTTTGCAGGATGGGTAGGCATTCGCCAGGCTAACGTTGAGAGAGGATGGGCAGGGGGGGAGGGGGCGGGGAGGACATTCTAAATGAGGGAAGTAAGCATTTGATTTTTCCAGGGAACTGAGCCAGAAAGTAAGGAGGGACTGGGAGTTGAGAAATCGCCTATAAACCCAGATACGGCTCAAATCCTAACCCACGCCTGCAGTTTAAAGAGCCTGAACTGTATCCTGCATCCGGGAACCACGGGTGCATGATGAGCAGCTAATCTTCATGCTCCATTACCGATTCATCCTATCATGTCAGTGACTTGCTCCATTCAGGGTATGTTAAGGGGATCCGCTAGATTTCTACATGAAGTGAATGAAAGTGAGAGTTTGACCACATAGTCATATACTGGCCATCAGCACACTCAAACGGGTTAGAGTACCACTGAGCTGTCGTCACAGAAGGATCAGTCCTGTGTTTTCCTGACACTGAGGCAAAGGTTTGATGGCAAACACATTGATCAGCTCCATGTGTTAGGCGCTTCCTATGAATACTTGCAAAGAATTTTATTTCTGTTAAAGCAAGAGGACCTACAAATTATGTTTTTACTCCAAAATGTAGACTTGTTGGTCATGCTTTTGATATCGGTATAGTTTTACTCTTCAGTGCCTTAACTCCACGTCTCTCTGATACAAATATTGCAAGCAGGTAGGGTTTACAGTCAGCTGTGAATAATTGAAGGAAAAAGTTTCCTACAGGGGAATTGGCACACATTGTAGAGAAGAAAGTAGAGCTTTGGGGGTTTAGGGACATCATAGGGTCCCCGATTCTGTACCCTCCTCTTTACACGTGGGGCATAAGAGCCAGTAAGTTCTGACCAGCAACTCCGGGGACTTGCTATCCAAGGGCTATCTTGTAGAATGACCTCCCTAGGTTGTAGTTCCATCATCTCCAAAATAATGTTGGGCAGCAGGGGTTCCAAGGCCCCTCCTACCCCAAGCTTTATTCGACTGTGGTGTCTACGGTTTTATGTTCTGGTAAATGGCCTAGTCGAGGGCAGTAGCTGCAGTGTCCGTCAGTGGACACTGTTTTATTCTTACACTGCCTCTTTGGGTGATGGCTCCTTCCGCATACTTTATGGCATGCATGGCCCTTTCTTCTCTGGAAGCCCCCTTCAATCAGTAAAATACTGTTGAGGCTTAATTCTGCCTAGAACGCTACTCTGAACACCCCAGGCTGGTGGGCTCAGGCCTGGAAGCTGGTGAGCATGAGGGGCCAGGAGTACAAGCCCCAGTGTGCATGGCATGCAGAGTTACCCAGTGAACATCCCCACATTGAATTCTGGACTTTCTTTCCAGGGGAAAGATTTTGCCAAGTTCTGCATAAGCAACTTGATAGGTTTAGAGCAATTATGTCTTCTCAAGAATTATGTCCTTGGAAATGACAGAGCTGTATATAAATAAATGAGTAATAATGACAAATAGCCTGGCTATCTGGCATCCAGCAGTTACCTTTAAATTAATTGAAAAAATATTTAGCAGAAGTGAAATATTTGTAGTGACAAGGTACTGCACAGTATAATTTCCATCAAATTGCCTTATTCCACGTGCTTCTAAAGAATTTGTCCGCTGAAGTTGTTCTAAGGGC